AAAAGCTTTTATTTACTCACTGATACGAATTGGTCTATTCCCCTCTTTTCAAACGGAATAGACCATTATTTATGTGGTATTGGCAGGGCGTAACGGTCGTGAGTACTAATGAAGGTGGTGGGGGGCAAGCACAATTATAATAGGATAATAAATTTTTTTCAGCATGACTGTCAGTCAGTTATGTGATACACGCTTAGGCGATCATGTATCTTTCGATACATGAATGACGACGCAGATTTTTTCCGCAGTAGGTTGCCATTTCTTTCTGCGTTAGACCCCTTTGCCATCTAAGGTCTGTTCTGTTATTTACTGTTTATTGGTGGGAGGGGGGAGAAGAAGAGGATTCATACCTTTCCCAAGAGTATTAGCACGTAAGTGGATGTAATAGATTCGGGTGAAATTCGAACTCGGCTCTCCAGTTCTTCAATCCGAGCTGCTATCCATTACTACACCGTGCCTCCTAGTAGTGCTTAATACTACTGTCTTTTCTTAGGTCGACCTCAATCGAGATCAAAAAGTCTATAACCCCGCGTCGTAGTTAACTGTGAACTCCATCATAATATATGCTCCGCTAGGGCAACATACCGGGTTTGAATTCAAGGTTACCCTTTCGCCTAGACTGGATAGAGAGGCAAGTCTATCCTGCTATTTAACCCATGGCTGAAGGAAAGAAGAAATTGATTCATAATTTTTTTAAATGTTATTCGTGTGAAATAGACTGTAACGAACTCTGTCGAAACATGAACCCGTCTCGACTATTTCTGTTTGCGAGCCGCTAAACCTGGGATGGCGAAACTTGCTTAATGCAAGAGCCACATACGATTAAGTTCAGCTATTTGAAAGCCGCAAGGCATAAACTAAATTTATACATTTTGTCACATACATATTAACATTAAACTTACGTTTTAATCCAGTGAGGTCTCAATTCATACCCAGTAAAGAATTATAAAGTTTGAAATATTTATTTACCTTTTACATGTGATGACAAAAGGAGCACAGGCAAAATATTTTCCACGAGCCGCATATTAAAGGCCAAAGAGCCGCATGTGGCTCACGAGCCGCAATTTGCACCCCACCCCCGGTGCTAACCGTTAATTATATCAAAGATTAACAGAGATCTTCTAAAAAAACTACTCATTGCCTTTACGAGTTTTGGAATCAAGATATGTCAGTTCCTTCTAAATTATACCAGCACGCATTTCGATGGCATTTACTTTTTAGGCCATTACTACTGGGTTCGATTCTTAATGTATCTCACTTTGTTCCACGTGAAGCTAATCTTAGGAAATATGAATATTCAAACTTTAATATTCAACACGTACTCAAAGACAGCATCGACTTATAATATTCTGCTTGATTTGAAGAGAACTTTCAGAATCGAACTCGTCCGCGTTTTTTTCAAACAACAGAATTAGATTTTAGATATTGATTGAAGGGCGTAGAAGGTAAATTAATAAATTACACAGAAGGAAAACAAAGGAAAATGTTTGCGATTCAAATAAAAACGGACAAAAAGAATGAAAGAAACAAGAATCATAAGCCTACTTTTAAAACAGTATCTGTTTAAATGTGAAAAAATATACTGTATTTCAAAAACTCTTCCTTTCAAAATGCACATATTTTCAAAATTAAAAAAAGGAGACTAAACAAAATATAATTCAAAATTCTAACTTTAAATTTCCGCCGCTTAATAATCATACAGCTACATCTATATAAAATTTTATTCCTATCTATTCGACATACAATAAAGCCACAAAGACAGAACATTTTATAGAGTGCGAAAAATATTAGAAAAAGAAAACATTATTAAGGAGAGAGAACAATAAATGAACAGGAATTAAGACAGAAGATAATGACTGATACCGCATTTCATTTTGGAAAGTGAGAAGCCAGAATAGGAGAAATTGTTAGCATAGAACTTATGGTGACATCAAGCAATTTCAACTGTAAAATGATGACGCATGTCAATCACGTACTGCGCTTAAATTCATAAAGTCTAAAAAAGTTAATCAGAATAGTTAACATAAAAATATTTATTCATTTAAGGGACAGGGTATCTACGATACGGAGGGAGAGTGACTAAAGCCGAGATGCCAGGTCAGGCCCGATAACATTGCAAATTCTTTTAATTTTATGAAGTATCTACAGCAGAAGTATCATGTATCTATGGCAGAAGAACCAGGCTAGATGAGGAAGAAATACTCAATGGATGGAAGAATAGTCGACAGAATCTAGCGAGAAAAACAAAATAGCGAGTCCGATCCTCATAGGGTGCCCCATAATTTCGGCCTTGTGCCACATCTAAGCTACGCTTAAAAAAATCACAATATTAAGTATCACTAGTATCACTTAGCATCAGAATTTGTGTAAACAGAATGAAAATATATACTTTTCCTGACGATCCGTTTAGGTGAAACCTAGGTAGGTTTGTCTGGCTCATTAGGCGTATCTAGGTCTGCTCTACGGTTGTATTGAGCGCTTTTGTTAGTTGCTTACTCGTATCGGGGTTTTTTCTTTGGGCTTCAGACCTGCATCTGTGCGATTGTTTTGTCGGCAGAAGTTCATGTTTGTAGTTCTTTCTTTTTTTAAAACCTTTTTTTCCCCTCGAGATTGATTTGATTATTGGCAAATCAAAAATTCGAGGGTGCGATGGATAAATTGTCGTCTAAATTACGCGAATATATAAATAGCACTGACAAATCATTTTAACAGATATATTTACCAAAATTACATAAACATATTTTCAAATACTAAAGAATAGATTTACTAAAAAAAAATCGCCATTGGCTTCAACCACGGCCTCCAGACGACTTCCGAATCTCCTGCATCTCTTCTAGACGGTCACCTTGTTTAAGTTAGTGAATGCTGCCATAATCCTTGCCTTCAGTTCATCTTGGGTGTTACAAGGAGTTTTGTTGGTCTCTCGCTCAACTGTGCCCCACACATAATGATCAAGGGGGTCGCAGTCTAGGAAGTTAGGACGCCAGATGTAAGGGGCGGGGTGTGCTGGCAGAAATTATCTGTCAGCCATGACTGTGTTCTCCTGTTTGTGTGACATGATGCAGAGTTCAGTTGACAGGCATAGGGTCTTCCAGCAGCCACCCTGTCGACCCAGGGCAGCTCTACATCCTCAAGGCACTTGATGTAGGCATCAGTGTTGAGCCTGAGGCCCTGTGAAAAGATGAATAGAGGCATAATATTACCATCACTAGTGATCGCTCCAAATACCATGAAGTTGACTGGATATATCATCCAACTCTTTTCGAATTATCTGTACCGCTAGATTGACACCAAACACTCTGAAATATTCGTACTGGAGTTTCCGGCGCAAATGCCAAGCAGTAAATCATGTCATTTTCAAATTTTTGACGGTGTGAATTGCATCATGGTGCTCTTTTTCTCACAGATGGTTCCCAACTGACCCCACTATACCGTGCAGACGACAAAAACAAAAAACAACGCGCATGCGCGAAATTTAAAATATAAAACAGCGAAAATTTACCCATCGCATATATATATATATATATATATATATATATACACACACACACAAGTAAGTGATTATATTAGGAGGAAAACAAAAACGTATTTTTCTTTTCACTCTATTGTGCATCCAAAACAACGCCAAAGAGCCTCTCAATGTAGATGGTTAATTAATGTTTTTTTATGAGCCTAAGAATTGTAGATTATGATGATAGACATAATAGATAACGATTTACTTTGGAGTTTAAAGCTTAAGATAGTTGCCAGGAAGCCAACCTCTTTAGAGGATGTTCCAGAAACCAGCGGTCATTAGGAAGAGATTGAATGAAACTTCTTCACTAATAGAATACAAAGGAAATAAGGAATGGTGGGTCTTAGCTGTAAATTGCTGAACAGTTGGAACCTCTTCTCGCCACTGTCAAACGGAGAAAAAAGGCGTGCCTTGGACACATTACAAGGCGCGCCAGCCTGTGCAAGGCCATCATGCAAGCCACCGATGAAGGTGGACGTAGGAGAGGACGCCAACGTAAAAACTGTTTGGATAATGTCAAACAATGGACAAGTATGACTACAGCAGAATTACTGCTGGCTACTGTTGATGGACCGTTGTGGAGGAGATTCAATATGGCTTCTGCATTCGGATCCCTTCTACGATTACAAAAGTCAAAGGGATAATGATGATAATCATCAACATCATCAGTAACTAATCTTGCTATAAGTGTCTTAAATATGATTCTGTAATATAGTGAATATCAATAAAATTGAGTATTTTGTATATGAATAACGTGTTAATTTATTAAAAATAAATATTATTATTAGAGGGGTATTCCATAGACCAATGTTCTTAGATGGATATTCCTCAGACAGGTTTCCCTTAGACCAATATTCTTTAGATGAATGTTCTTAGATCCATACTGACTTGTCTAAAAACTTGTTCTGTATTTTGAAATTAGATGATTTCTCAATTGACACCGAGAGTAAATGAGAAACTTTTTTTTGACCTTTTCTAAACTTTTTTTGACTTTTTCTAAACATTGTGCTGAAATTGTTATTTCATCAAAGCTGGAAGAAAGAGGCATATTTTCAATTTCAAACGTTTTTGACTTCAGATATTTCTTCGACCATAACGACACATTCAAAAGATACCATCTAAAGCTTTTTTTAAGGCTCACAATTACACCAAAAATGTTTAAAACCAGATGAATTTGAATTTCATCTAATTTAATTCCTTTTTGATAATGACTAAAGCCAGTCGAATGATTGATTTATTCGATTTTTACTGCTTATCAACCCAGGTTATTTAAAGCTTTAATACTTCTAGATTGTAAGAATTTTTGAAGTGATAATAATGGTTTATTTGATATAAGCGTTACTAATTAACCCATAGCTAGGGGAGAAGAGGTGGATTCATACTTTTCTTAAGTGTATTCGTGCGTAAGTGGATATAACGAACCCATCGAGAATACAATTAACAATTTCGTACCATTATCCATTACACCACCAGCACATCCTTGCTTACACTATCTGATATTTACAAACGGTCACCCATCTAGGTACTAACCAGGTTCGACGTTGCTTAACTTCGGTGATCGTACGGCAACCGATGTTTCAACGTGATGTGGCCATAAGCCTCAGTCGAAGGATTAGAATCTTAATCAATTAATGTCCACCATAAACTACGACACAAAAATTAAAACCCAATATTAATTACAGATTTATATCTATAGAACATTAATGCTCTTCTTTCTTCTTTCATGTGCAATGTCTCTTCAGCACGTAGGCAATCATGGCTCTCCACATCTTCCTGTCCCTTGTTGTGGCACACATGTTCGGTTCATGGTGCCCTCAGCATACCGCCCCCCAAAATAGAACAGTTAACAATAATGGCTTAAGAAAAAAACAAATTGTAAACATTTCATTTTCCCCTTCAAAACTCAGACACGAAAACTAATCGGAAAAAAAAATATTTCTAAAAATATAAGCATAACTTTTCACTTCGCTTTAGGAAAACCAGTTACATATATATATTATTGAATCAGAAATAATAAGGTTCACAATACGTATCGGAGATCGCCTCGGAGTTTCGTGATTTCTTACTCTTCAGCGTTCAGATAAGAATGATTGCATTAATTACAGTTTGTTTATTTTATTATTTTTCAATTTTAATTTTCTTTTTTTACAGCTATAACAAGTTAAATAACTTCTTATCTGTCCTTTCTCAAAGTTTCACGGATACGTTATTCACTAGGCAAGAGGCTTGATAGTAACCTACCACCTGACAATTTAGAGGCAGAGCATTTTTTATTGTCATGCCTGAGGAATCGGTATCATATTCGCGAAACTTCGGACAGGGACAGACAAGTTGAATATTTATTTTTATTTCTTACTATCAAAATGTTCCATCTGTTGATATTGAACTCTTTAATTACAGAGACTGCTCGCCTTAAAAACCTTATCATCCACAGGAACTGGTCGACATTTTTTCCGTGAAACACAGTCTATGTTATTGTTACATACACACACATAATTACTTATGTATTTTAGTCCTAGGTATGACGATAAACTACATCCCGCAGCAAGGCTTCTGATCGGGAGATATGGAAGAGTGTGAAGCGCCTCTTAATTGCTGTTTTTTCCCCCGGTCCACCATGACCCGATGTGGTAGCACCTTTTAGGGTCCTAGCTATGGGCAAATAGTTAACAACCAAAATGGGGTTAAAACATTATGAAAGTATAAAAATAGATTTTTATAGTAAAATTATCAACAATGCATATTTATAAAAAAATGGTCAGCAACACATTTTATAGTATAACTATCAGCAATACGTTTCATCTGTAGTTAAAGGCATGCAATTATGTTCAAAATATATTGGGTGGTTGCATAATTATCAGGCGTTTTTGTAGGCGAGTTACTTGTTAATAAAATTGTTGTTTTTTTTAATAAAAATATTATTTTATTTTCAGGCTATAAAATGCGTGTGAATAATCATAAGCACTGGAATAATCATTTTAGAATGTTATTATTGAATTTATACGTTTCTTTTTTTTTTATAATATTTTAAAACGCCTGATAATTATGCACCAACTCAATATTTTGTTGAAGAAATAGAATTGCGTTCAAAATATTTAGATTTCGGCATCAAATAACCGATTGAGGTTGATATACCACGAAAAAAATTTAACTAAACGTATGCATTTATATGTAGTTACCGCATATACACGTGTATACTTCATGTATAATGCGATCCCTGATTTTTTTTAATGAATTTTAACCTCTCAGAAAAATATACCTGTGTATAGTATAATTGGTAACAGAAAATAAATGATTTTTAACCTCCTCAAAAAAAAGTTACCTGTGTATAGTAAAAGTATAATTGTTTTCGTAAAAAAACTGATCATAAAACTCGCACTATATTCGTGTCTATATACGCTATGTATTGACTTCAGCTTTACTTGACACAAGTCATGAGTGATAAAATCGATAGGAAAATTAGTTAGCGCCAGTTCTTCCAAGTGAATTTTGTTGAATTCGAAATCCTGTCTTATATTTTATATTTTTATCGATTGCAAAGATGAACGTCTTAGTTATCTATTTATGTGTGTATTTGCTATCTTTGTTGTATATTCCAGATAAAAAATCTCCTACACAACACGGGTAAATGTCGATTGTAGTTCTAAAATCGTGTACAAGTTTCTATTGTATTGGAAATCTGTTAGTTCATATTTCAAAATTGCCAAAGTTAGAAAAACACTTAAAAAACGCCAACATGAAAAAAAATGAAAAGACACTTTTGAGTAATCCGTCAGAAAATTGACGGCCTGTAACAAATGACGGTTCCATATTCTGCGACTGAGGCATTGTGGGAAGACGTATTGTCAGGTCTGAGCAGAAGCGCGTCCATCTTTTTGGTATCGGGACGAAAATAATCTAATGCAGATATCAGAGGATCTCGGTCAAGCGAGAACTTTCGCGAGAGTGTTGCTTGCAAAGATGGCGTTTTTTTTTTCTCTTTCTTTCTTTTTAACTCGCTTTTACCTTGAATTGTCAGTCGAATGCTTTTTTTTTATATAATGAGAAAACTCAGATATTTTTTTCGTTTTGTTTTGAAAGGGCTTGCTCACGTCCAATTTCACGGCTTCGCGAGAGAGATTCAGAGTTTTATTTCATTAAAAAAATTGTCAGGCCGTTGTATTTTGTTAGTATTCCTTATATTTTTCTTTTAGAAGGAATGTTCTGGTTTTGGGATTGTGTGCGGTTTCCTCAAGTTGTTTTACGGTTGTATTTCCTTCGTTTTTGTTTTTTTTTTTTGTTGCCAGTTGTCCTTCGTTTAGCATTAACCATATTCGCGCGCACGCTCACATGAAACAGACCGAAAGCAGTGAGACAGAAACGCAGACAAAATATAGCACCCTCTTAAGAACATACACGCATACACCGGCATGCCGAGGAGACTGAAATAGTTACCTATTTCCAATTGATGCTTGCGATCAGTGTTCGCGCCTAGGTAAAAATGTTAGCATTCTAAATGCTGATTTTCTTTTACATCTTTACTTTCACAGAGGTTATTTTAAGATATTTGAGCGAATTATTTATTCCGATGTTAAAATTGCACTAAAAAATGGAACAGTGTTAAGTTAATGTCTACAGTGATTTTCCAAGCGTAGCTTAGATTTGGCACAAGGCCGAAAGTAGGGGCAACCAGTGAGGATCGAACTTACTACTGAATCGTAATCGTTCTCGCGAGACAAGCTTGCTAACCATAACACCACGTCGAGGTGCCCAAAGTTAATGTCTATATGGCATAATGTATTTGTGGGTAGTATAACGCTTGACAAAGCGGAACGCGAAATCAACGAGATGAGTTTAAATTCTAGTCGAATTTTGTTTTCATTTCGCACTTATGGCCTTGTTAAAGGCGAGAGTCATTTCTTCTTATACATAAAAATTAATTTAAATAAGAGGGCAGACTAGGATCGTATGACTCATTATTCCCCAAATTTTAAAATTTTTTGTGGGGTGGTGGGTTTGGCTGAAGCTTGGATTTTGTAGTAGACTGAAAAATTACTTTCAAAAGAAGAGAATGAATGCATAGCAGAAAAGTAATTATATATATATATAATCATTCAGGCATGTGTTGTTGAAAACTACAGAACTTTTCCGTTTGATGATCTTTTTTTTTAGTATTTGGGTCTAAGTTGTTGGAAGAGGACCCTAGTCAATGTTTTTTTTGCCGAGCGCTTTTGGTTATCGTCAACAGTCGGCAAAAAACTATAGTTCTGTAGTTTTCAATAACACTTGCCTAAATAATGACATGCTGCCAATATATATATATATATATATATATATATATATATATATATGTGTGTGTGTGTGTGTATCGGCGTTCTAGTCATCCGAAGCTGGCGAAAGCAGTAACGACCCGGGTTGTCCTTTGTTAAGCGTTGAGGTTGTGAAGAGTTTTTTTGCGCTTTTTATAGATAATTTGGGCGATGAGCACTTTACTAAGTGGGTAGGTGTTTGCCTTTTGGTCTTTCTTTCTTTTTTTGGTTCCTTCTTCGGGATGTTTTTCTTGTCTGACAAGTCGTCTGTTGGTCAAAACAACGTACTTGTTTTTTTTTTCTTAGTAGTAGTATTGAATATAAACTTTTGAACACCTCACAAAGATACTGAATTAATAATCGATATTTTTAAAAGCAAACCACCACCAAAATAGTAGCATTTATTTTATATTAGTCCCTTCCACACATGAAATCTAACTTTTACACACAAACACGCAGTCATCGGTTGTTTGTTAAGGAGTTATAACTGGTTAAATTTTAACACGTTCTTCATCTCAATATTGTAAGATTTTGCTCGAAGAGACTAAATTTGCTAAGTATCATATTGACTTAACAAACAATCGTACTGTGGTATTACCTATATAGTAAAATGTAAGATATCTATATAATAAATTCACACGACGCAAAGTTTAACATAATCTGAAATCATTGGTCCTGGCCTTTTCATCCCAGCTTTCGTCACTTGACCTACCACCGTAACGTAACTTCCCTCTGTCTTTTCTGTAAATACTTCGATGGTAATTGTTTTGATGACCTTTCCTCTATGGTATCTTGACATTATGAATTTAAGCGCAGTACTTGATTGGCGGCAAGGTCCCAATTTACAGTTGAATGGCTAGATGTAACCCTAAGTCCTATGCTAACAGTTTCTTCTGTCACTCTTCTCGCATACTGAACTCTCTTCCAGATTATCGCTTCCCAGTTAACGTTGATCTTCAAAAATCTAAGTGCCATGCCAATCGTTATTTTCTATCTTAATTATTGTTATTTTATTGTTCTCTCTCTTAAATAAATCTCTTGTAGTATTTCCTCATAGTCTCTTACATTCAGTAACCCCTTGCGTCTTAGTCGCACTAGTACATTGCTTGGGGTGAAATGATTAAAAAAAAAAAAAACTTAAAGAGACGGAAGTATTTTTATATTTATATTAATATAATGACAGACTTATGAAAATAAATTTAAAAAAAATATTTGGTATTTTAACGATCTTTATTTCAGAAGCTGTTAGACTTTGAAGAGCTAAATAATGCTTACTGTTCTTGTTATTTTTTTTTTGTTGTACCTATTT